AGAAGGCTGGTCGCTAGGTCTGCACAATAAATCATATTTTTATCGTTATCACAATGAGTTTCCGTGGTAAACACATCATTAGAGGGGCGATGACAGAACAGATCTAATTAGCTCGTACATGCAGCGCCAGAAAGACGTATTACGTTACCGACACAAACTGTACGAGCCTGCTTTTCTGCTTTGGGACTGAACCTGCTCTCCCACACGGGGGACGAGTAACTTAACCATTTGACCAAACGGCAACTACAACACACACTCAGAGACCTTGAAATGTCACCTGTAAGTCAGCTTTAATGTAAAGCTGCAGCAAAGGGGAAAACATGCAGCACACAGGCTAGCTCAGGCTCTCCATTTTTTCTGTTAGCCAGCTGGGCTACTGAAGCTCGCTACCTTATGTCCCTCAGAGTCCTTCAAAATAAGAGTCCCGGGCCAACTAAGAACACTAAACAACAAAAAACATATGTGTGTTAAATGTATGGCAATATTTTATTTATTGTTTTTTTTGTTTTGGATCATCTTCAAAGGACCACTCCAAGTAAACTGTTACCGAAGTGTCCTACTTCTGTTTTTCTTTCAGGCACCATAATAGTTCTGCCTGTTTTGGCCTATATCTGTTACAATTGTCATGTTACCATTTTTGCACTTTGTTCATTTGACTATTTTTCTATATCCACATGTCCTGCATCACTCATTTTACCAATTGCTTTTTTCTTCAATTTTGTAGATCTTTTACCCATGTGTGTGTATGTTGTCTCACATCGGTTCTAACAGCTAATAAAGAACTTTGGCAAAGTTAAGTAACCAAATTACTCCCAGAAAATAATTTGTTATTAACAATCTCTACAGAATTAACCTTCAGGTGTATCTCATTCCGAGACTGTTTTGTACTGTTTGACTGGTGCCCCACTTATTATTATTATTATTATTATTATTATTATTATTATTATGATTATTATTATTATTATTATTATTATTAATTTGGAATACATTAATTAATATTAATAATTCACCCACAAGTCCTGTGTGACCATCTTAAGTTTGCCATGTATAAATGCTTTCAATTCAGAGAAATTGGTCTTACAGCCCCCTCTGTGGTCAGCATCATAGTAAATGGACAGTAGTGAGAACCTAAGCCATCATTCCAGAGTAGCAGTTACATGCTTAAAAATAAGTGGTTCTTGATTTGCATGTATGGTAGGAAAAAACCTTTAGAACTTGTACATGTTGTGGAGGCTCTGTAGGGTACTGTTCATAAGGCAACATGACAACTGACATAACCTTACATAAATGTTTATAAATGCTTATTATGATAGGCGGCATCTGTCATAAAGGCTACTTTAGCTAACTTTCATCTTAATTGGCAAATATAGCCTTCACGGTGAATGAATCCTTCTGAAACAAGCATGTATAAACATTTATGTAGGGTTATGTCAGTCATGACAAGCATATGTAGGTGTCATGCGCCTTATGAACAGTACCCTACAGCAAAGTGTTACCAAAGGTTCTTCAGGTCCACACATGATTTACAGAAATTATCATTTCAAGAATCATCCAATCAAACATTCGGTACTTTATTTGGATAGTCCGCTTTTAGACGCTCTCCAAACAGTCAACAAACTAACTACAGACGGCCAACAACCTGTCAGTTAATGTTCACCAGCTTATCAGTTGATTCTCAACAGCATGTGAATAGATCTTTATCTATTATTCAACAAGCACGTCACAAACTCAAACAATAGACTACATGTTGTCTTATCAACTGAGAATGCACGAAATCTTAATATGACCCTCAACAGAGTGTCTACAGAGTCTGTATAGACTGAAGGGTATGTATCAACAACTGTTAATGTATATTTATTCAGGTACATTTATATTGTAATGTCAACCAACTATCAGTAGACATTAAACTAAATATCAACTAACTGTCAACAAACATGGAAGTAAATCCCTGTTTTTATTCTAATGTGGTACATAATGTCACACCATCATTTCTTGCATGGTACCTGAGTCCTTACTGGAAATCTACATACACCAATCAGGCATAACATTATGACCACCTCCTTGTTTCTGCGCTCATCGTCCATTTTATCAGCTGCACTTACTATATAGGTGCACTTTGTAGTTCTACAGTTACAGACTGTAGTCCATCTGTTTCTCTGCATACTTTGTTAGCCCCCTTTTACCCTGTTCTTCAGTGGTCAGGACCCCCCATGGACCCTCACAGAGCAGGTACTATTTGGGTGGTGGATCATTCTCAGCACTGCAGTAACACTGATGTGGTGGTGTGTTAGTGTTTGTTGCACTGGTCTGAGTGGATCAGACACAGCAGTGCTGCTGGAGTTTTTAAACATTCACTGTCCACTCTACTAGACGCACCTGCATTGTTGGTCCACCTTGTAGATGTAAAGCCAGAGACGATAGCTTATCTCTTGCTGTACAGTATGAGCTAATCATCCCCTAGTCCTTTATCGCTGCCCACAGGACACTATAGACTGGATATTTTTGGTTGGTGGACTATTCTCAGTCCAGCAGTGACAGTGAGGTGTTTAAAAACTCCAGCAGCACTGCTGTGTCTGATCAACTCAGAGCAGCGCAACACACACTAACACACCACCACCACATCAGTGTTACTGCAGTCAGTGTAATAATGTAATAATGTTATATATATCAATTGCACTATGAGAGCACTAGAGACAAATTGATAGTGTATAGAATATCTACTAAACGTCTACAGCTACAGCTAAATGGCCAAATTGATAATCTTTAAAATATCTACTAAACATCTACAACTACATACTGGGCTATCCATATAAAGTGAAAGTGTAAATGTGCTGTCAATTTGTAGATTGCCTATATAAAATCTACAAACCATCCATAGATGTTCCACAAAAGTTTTCTAATGAAGTGAAACATGAGGGAATAGTCTTTGGGCCAATGTAGAGTCAAGCAATGTGGTTTGGTTTTTGGTTTTGGTTTTTTCTTTCTTGATCTGTTTTTTTTTTTTATTTTTTTTTTGTTTACCTTTTACCAGGTGGACAGCAGATTTAATGAGAGGAGCTTTTGCTGGTTGGCTGTGTTAGCACCGTTGCCAATCGGGGTCGCCGGTTCCTCATCTGTGGGCGGGCCTTGGCAAACAAAAGAGTGTGCCTCTCCATGGCTTGAAGAGACTCCTTCACACCACGTGGGAAATTAGCTGCCTTTACATGAGAGTGGTGTGATGGTAGTGGGTAAACCTGTATTGTGATGCATGCTGATAGAGTTTTTATTAGCATAGCCTGAATGGCATTTTAGAACATTTATATATGCAAAGCTTAAGCTTTATTTACATGTTGTGTTTAATGATGTTTAATGATGAATTTGTCTGCTTCACAAATAAAAGTGTCTGCTAAATGTAAATGCACATATTTTATATGTGCATTTATCTCCACAATTCTGTCTTGTTTTGGTACAAAAGATTGAAGTGAGATAAACCAAGTATAAATTTCACTGAATCTTTAAAAGTTGCAATAGAATTGTGTCATGATTCAAGTGGAGCTGGACAGTATGATGATGTTTTATCGTTATCATGATCATTTTTGTTATTGTGATACATGGTGTGCTTTTTTGAGTATATTGTGGATATTCATCAGTAATTAAAGAACACTGACCAACTTTGTTTCATTTAGCTTAATCCGTCCTGTTTAATTGAGTTTAGTGCAGTATGATCATTTTTCAACGATCTTGGCTACATGGTAAGTTTCATTACTTCCCATTAACATTGAGTAATTATGTCGTACACTATGATTATTCATATGACATTAATAAATAAGTTATCTTTTAAGAGCTGGTGTTCAACAGTTTACTGATTTCTACAGTAAGTCGTTGAGGATGGGATGGTAAAAAGCACTAGAGCATGAGCTCTGGGTGAGGAGGAAGTGGAAGACCACCCTGGACCAGCTCGGTGAAGCAATAAGAGTTATGTTATGATGACATTTTGAGTCATAGCTTGAAAAATATACTAGTCTACTAATGCAGTCAGCAATCAGACTGTAGGGAACTGCCTGTAGCTTTATTTTGCCGACAGCCAGATAATAAAGTTTGCTTATGCTAAAGTGGCCCAACATATGCATAGGATATTGTCCACAGTACTGCATTCAGAAAATCTTGCTGGACAAGACTGTCTCCCAAATACTGTGAATATAAATGTGCATAGTAACACGTGTGATGCATAGCAGGTCCCATTCATTCATGTTCTAATGTGGTGTGGCTGGTATATTGCCTTACTAAGACGTGGCCACACATTAGGATCTTGTTCTCATGCATATGGCATAACTACACATTATTGTTATTTATTTTGGATGTCACCAGCAGGGCTCCATACCCAATATCGGTTTCTAGCACAGTTTTTCAGTGTTATTCATGTACAGTCTGTCATTAAGGTAGACCCCCAGATATTCTCTGGGTAATGACTGGTTTCAACAGCCCTCTAAACACCTATAATCCACTACAATTATTTTGTCTCGTGATATTAAAGGGGAACTTCGCCCATTTTTCAAAATTCCTCCATTGTTCAGCATTGGAGATGTAAACAGAGTTGTTTAGAGTGTTTTGGTGTGACATCGTTCATTACAGAGGCTCAGATTTCTTTACCGTTGGGGTGATAGGGGTCACCTATCATCACCATACAAATATAGACATTTAATTTGCTATCCAAAACCACCAGTGAACCTTCATGTGTTTTCTGTGTTTTTAAGTTTAGTTTATGACATAACTATTATAAAACAGTGTCTCAGACATCAGGCAATGCATTCATAGACATTTCATGTGATAACTGTCTGTGAGGGAGCTTTTAGAGGTGGATATCTGGTTCCTGTCACCACCACTGTGAACAATTCTGTCTCGGTAAGTTTCTCTAGAACGGAATGTTTCACACCAAACCACTCTGAACAATTTTGGTTACATCTAAACCATTTAACTATGCAGGAAATGTTCACAAATTGATGGAGTTCCCCTTTAAGCGACTGGTTATTTTACCTGCACCACATGTCCTGTACCAATGTCCTGTGATCTAAACTTCTTCAGATGGCATGAGCAGGTGTTGTACTGGACTCTGATGAGTGAAGGGTGAAGACCACAGCAGCAGTGTTCCTGCAGTTCCCCAGTGCTGCTCACCACCATGTCTGACACACAGCTCTGGAGGCTTGCTGACCCAGTAGTCCATGATCCAGAAGACACTGTGGACATCAGCCTGCATCACCCTGAGCTTGCTTGCCAATCAAAGAGGCAGAATAATGTCTCAGAGGAACCAAACAGAGAGGCTGGATAGTTGAAGGCCAAGTAGCAAACTCATCTCGACCCTGTAGACCCCTTGAAGACCTCTGCTTTAGAGTAATGACATGCTTTTTGAAAAGTGCAAATATTTAATACGATTTTCCATAAATTACATAAATTTAGATACATTTTTACATAAATTTACAAAGGCCACATTTTAGATTGTTTTTCCAACATGCTATATGCAGCAAAACAGAGGTATGAACTTATTTTCACTTAGAAATGTATTAAAACAGTATGCCCAAACTTTTGTATATAACTACTTTCTGTCTGTCTGCCTGTCTTTCCCCTCCCCCTTCATCCCTCATGCACCAGCATAGAACCAGCATACCTGGTTCAACTTGTTTGTTAACTGCTAGGTTTAGTGGGTGTGTTTAAATAGGGTACGAAACTTAATACTCCCCTGCCTTAGAGTGACATCACACTTTTTTAAAAAAGTGCGTATTTATAAAATTATACCATATATACAGATATATATATATATATATATATATATATATATATATATATATATATATATTTATATTTATATTTATATATATGTATATATATATATATATATATATATATATATATATATATATATATATATATATAGAGAGAGAGAGAACATTCGGATGTTTCAGTGATTTTCTAAGTGAAAATAATTGAACAGGTCCTCTCGACAGAGTACAATTACACACATTTTGATGCACAGTTACTGTTTATTAGCTGAATTTAACAAACTGGGGGAAAAAAATACCTAAAAATAACATAAAATTTGGCCTTTATATGTTGTTTTTTAACTAAAATTTGCAGAAAAATGGCCAGCAAGTAAGGATTGTGGCACTTGTCTCTATCAGCCAATAATGATTCAGTCTCTAATTTTAACAACAGTAATACAGCACTTTAGTACTCGGTCCTCTAATATTTAAACTGGGCACCTGATAATGTGCCAAACCGGAAAAGAGTAGCAGCACCACAATGAGCAGTAGGCATCTGATTGTGTAATTTGAGCAGTATACCTCGTGGGTGGAGAATGACAGATTAACTTTCCTCTCCACCTTATCGTAGGCTACTTTTAATGAACAGACTGTCGGAGTAAAACACTAATGAACGCTCTAAGGTAAGTTTTCTTCCTATACCTTTTGTCTGTGTAGCTCTAGATGCAATTTATGTAGATTTAAACTAAACGTAGTCCTGGGTAGAACATCAGTGCTGTGTTTGTCTGTTTATATGGAATATTCAGTGGGTGAATATCAAAATGGGGTCATATCAAAGTGCTATCAGAGTAATATCAAGATGCAGCCTGGTCAGTTTATCTTTCATAAATGCCTGTCATTAAACCGTGTATAGTATTAACTTCGAAACATTGCTTGTTATTGTTCCTCTGAGCCTTCTACAGTCAAAAAGTCATTATGAATGAAGCTGGAGGATTAGTCTGGGCTGGCTGAACAAAAGGATAAAACAGAACAGTTCCATTTAAGAGCAGTTTAGAAGACACAGTCGGCGGCTAGACAGATTGCATATTTGCACTTGTACACACCCAAAGGTGTTTGTCAAGATTGGATTATCAGGTTGATGGCTGGGATATTTCCCTTTATTTTGCTCTTAGAAAAATTAAACCTATGACAGGCCCAGCAGCATTGTTATATATGAGTTAATCCCAGCAGTGCCGTTAACGTATTATCTTCACCTGATATCTCAGAAGAAATTGCACAAGGGTGGACGTTAATTACATAATAGCCTGATTAAAATACAGGCTTGTTAACCCTTCATATTCCAACAAAATTTAAAACAGCGACATGATTCACACATCAGATCACTCATCAGACTCTGACCCTCACCATCCAAAGTGATTTCATCCACCTGTGACCATCCATCAGCCAGCAATCCAGCTCCAAAGTCACCCAGACCCCACTCGCTACTGTTAAATTATGTTATATTATATATGAATCAATAAAAAAAACATGGTGCTATGTTAATTGTTCATGTTTGCTCATAATAACCAATAGAATGAATTACCATCAAAATTATTGCACTTTCAGCTCATAGACACTCCGGACTAACAATTTCTGAAAAGATAACCACTACTGCACTTGTTGTCAAGATCTTTTTCATTAAAAAAAATCATCACCATCAAATTTCTGTTAGCTTTTACATATCAAACAATGACATATCTAAGTAGACCAGGGTCTCCTGAAAATAACAACATATGGCATGTGTGACTGCCACATGTAAATACTTTATAATTGCAATTGTAACTGTAATTGATCCAAAAAATACCAAAAAACAAAATCCCCAAAATTTTAGGTTTCTAAGGGTCAAACACCTTGTCCAGCAAAACTTTGCTAACACAACTTTTCTTTCTAACTTTGTTGGCATTAAGGGATGTGGATTAATAGCTTTTTTTGACATAAGCGTTACAATGACAGATTCTCAGCTTCATATACTTACTCACTGTTTCATGTTGAAACAGCCTGCAAGGACTGATAATCATATATGAATGATATAAATATATGAATACATTTGGGCCTGTTTGTAAAATCATGCTTGGTTATTAGCCTGTTTATCATGTGCCACGTTTGCCATGAGTTCTGACTGAAGGGAGGAGCTGTTTATGAGCTGTATGCAGAATTTGTGTCATCAATGATAGGCATGCAGCCAAAACTTCAGAATTACTGGGGCTCACACGGGGCACAATCATCTAAGTGTTGGTCCTGTTGTTGGGAGACCATAACTGGCCTCTCTCTCTCTGGCTAGGTGGGATAGTCCTCCCTCTTGGTGCAATGCTAGCCATCCCATCCCTCTGTTGGCTGATGTAAGAGAATAGGCAGTTTGGCAGTCTAATCATATTGCGTCAGCGGCAGTTTGAAAAGATGGAGCTTCAAGTGTCTCGGAAGAGGCATGTGTTAGCCTTCACCCTCTCAGCCTGGTAGCATCATAGAATGGTTAAAACCTAGCATAGCATTACTGGAATGGCAGTGATGTTCCTGTCTGTGTCAATGATTAACATCTACTGGCAGTGGCAGTTTTCTATAGAGGCTCCATTCAAATGCATGTAATTTCCTGATTGCTTTAACTACTCAAACATCTTCATGTTTGTGCAAAAAAAGGGTTGAGTGGCGAACCCGAACCCTAACCTATGTAAATATGTAGAAAGATAAGCATTTATATCGCTAGTGCTTATTGAAGTTCTAATTGCTTTATGTTTTATTCAAGCAGATAACTAACCAACCTTGACTGAACTTTGGAGGTGTGGAACAGTAGCTCTAGATTTCTTTAGAAAACTTTGATGCATTTATTTGTTATGACTTCTGAGTACATGTCTGTTTAATGTAAGTTTTCTGACACTGAAAAACGAATACATTGTACTTAATGGCTGTTTTGACTGGAAATGAAATGATTGAGGTCACAGTACTGTGTGCTTACATATTCAGATTCTTATGACTTATTATTCTGTAAGATTGGATAATTCTGACAGGAATGTGTGCTTTCATTTCCTATCTTTGGTTCTTTTAATTAAGATCTATACATACTGATATACACATTGTAATAATAACAATTATATTTTAATTATATATTATATATATTTTTTTTTTTTAGGAAATCAACAATGCGTCACTATTCAATGAATCATTGTATTCAGATGTTTACATGCTGGCTGGGGGGATTTGCTACATCTGTGATATTTTTCAAGCACTTTGAACAAAACTGCAATGTTCGACCAGTTCCCCAACCTGTTCAACCAACTTATAAAAACTGCACTTGCACTCTCACTCCCAACAAAGCCCCTCAGCCAGAAAAACCCATCCTGCTAGTGTGGGACTGGCCTGAAACCAACGACTTTAGATTCGACCCCGTTGAGTGTAAAAAAAGGTTCAACATTGATTCGTGCCACCTGACAGATGACAGAAATCTCTACAAGCGGTCAGATGCCGTTCTCTTCTACCACAAAGCTATTAAAGATGATCTGTCCAATCTTCCCAAAGATCCTCGTCCACATTTTCAAAAATGGATTTGGTTCAACCTTGAGTCACCAACCAACACTAGACAAAAGGCAGGTTTGGAAAACATCTTCAACCTCACCCTCACTTACAGACGAGACTCGGACATCTCTGTGAGGTACGACGTGGACGTCAGCAAAACCCCACTTGACTTTAAGATTCCAAAGAAAGACAAGCTCGTCTGCTGGTTTGTGTCCAACATGAACCCTTATACTGGAACAGGAAAAAGGACGAAGTACTATGAAGAGCTCAGCAAATATATAAAAGTGAATGTTTATGGAAAAATGGCTGGATCGCACTTTGAGGATAAAGATTACTACCCTATCATGGAAAGCTGTAAGTTCTACCTGTCGTTTGAGAATTCCATCCATAAGGACTACATGACTGAAAAGTTAAATGGCCCATTTGCAGTGGGGACTGTGCCTATTGTGTTGGGACCTCCAAGAGAAAACTATGAACAGTTTGCTCCACGTGATGCGTTCATTCATGTAGATGACTTTCCTAATGCAACAGTGATGGCTGATTATATCCTTAAACTGGACAAGGACGATGAGGCTTACAAAAGGTACTTTGACTGGAGAAAATACATGTCTGTGATTCCCCATTACAAAGTTTGGAATGATGAGTTTATCCTGCCGATTTGTCGTGCCTGTGATTATATTGCAAGGCACAAAGAGTATAAAGAGACACATGAACTCTTCAAGTGGTACTTTTCATAATCAATAAGATTACCTCTTTAGTTTATTCAGCACTTCTCAGAAGACGATGATAGGAATAAATGTTTTTAGTGGGAATACACATATTCGTGTTATATTATTTATTTTTATTTTGGTGAACCTCACATAGAAATAAACAGAAATGTTTAAAACTCTAAAGCATTAAATTGTAAGAATGATAGTACTTTTCCTTTTTCATTGTTAAATTTTGATTAGACAGGTTTAGTGCTAAAAAAAAAAAAATAAACAATAGAAAGTCATAAAATCAGGACTTTCCCCTGTAGTATATGCAATCCCAATTCACACCTTTTTAATGAAATGGTAAAATGTCTCACTTTCAACATCTGATATGTGTTTTATGTTCTACTGTGAATAAAATATGGGTCAATGAGACATGCAAATCATTGCATTCTGTTTTTATTTACATTTATTTACATTTTACACAGCGTCCCAACTTCTTTGGAATTGTAGAAAGATGGTCCTAAGGCATAAAGGGGTCATACAAGTCCAAGAACCAACATACTCTAAAAATGATTGTTAACTGGGTCTCACTCATCTAAAACTTCAACAGGGTGTGAGATTTTTCTCAGACTTGCTGAGGGTTATGAGCCAGCAGTTCAGTGGATTCAGCCTTTAGTGATAAGGAAGCGTCCTACCTCTGTTTTTCATTCAGGCACCACTATAGTTCTGCCTATTTTGATCTATATCTGTTAGAATTCTCGTGTTACCATTTATGCAGTTCGTTCATTTTACTCTGTACACTGTTATGTTTTCCTAACCCACATGTCCTGCATCACTGATTTTGCCACTCACTTTTTAATTCAATTTTGTAAATCTTTTACCCGTGTGTGTGTATGTGGTCTGACCGAGGTTCTAACAGCTAAGAAAGAACTTTAAAAGTTAATTATTAAAAGGTAATTAAGTAAGTAAAAGAAAATTGAGTAACCAAATTACTTTCAGATAATAGAAAATAATTATTATTTCTGTTCGTAAAAATCTCTACAGTGTTAACCATCATTTCTATTCAGATGTGGTACATAATGTCACACCAGATCATTTCTTGCATATTACCTGTCCTTGTAAATGTACTGTGGTATGTGCCCTCCCCCCGGGCCCTGACAATGAAGGCTGCGAGAGCTGGCAGGAAGGCGGGGCCTGAACATGCAGTGGCAACGAACCTTGGCGAGGATGGCAGGGAGAGAGCCGCGAGTGGGGAGGAGGCGGAGCGGAAAGCCAGAGCTCCGTCGAGGGACACGAGTCATGCGAGCTCTTGTTCCCTCTCGGCTTGGGTGCGTGGAGCACCTTTTTAAAAAGCTGAGAGGAAACAGAGCAAGAGAGGGACAAGCAGCAACAGAAACAACAACAAATGACTGAGGAAGAGCTGAAAAGCTTGAGTAAAAAGGACGGAAAAGTCTAGCTAGCTTAAGCCACTGAAAAGTGGCTAGCCTAGGTTTTGTTTTGTGTTGTATTTATTTGATGTGTGATTAGAGAAAATGGCTGCTGCAACACTGAACCCTGCCTCCAGCATCCACCTTGAGCCCACGGTAGCACATGCTGTGCTACATCTACATATATCAACTGCACTAGCAAAACTATGATAGCACTAGAGACAAGTTGATAGTCTATAGAATAGTCTACAGCTACAGACTGGACTGTCCAAATAAAGTGAAAGCTTGAATGGCCAAGTTGAAAGTCTATAGCAGGCATTTCAAACTGGGGACCTTCTGGGCCAAAGTGCTGTGGAGGTTAGTGTTTACCCTGATCTAATGCTCTGCATTCAGTTCATGAAGGCCTTCCTAATTAGTTGATAAGCTGAATCAGTTGTGGTTGATGAGGCAGTGTGCTGAAGTCTGCAGTGTTTTGGCCCACGAGGACTGGAGCCTGACACATGATCTATAGAATCCCTAGTAAACATCTACAACTACATACTGGGCTATCCACATAAAGTGAAGGTGTAAATGTGCTGTCAATATGTAGATTGCCTATATAAAATGTAGCCACACACACACACACACACACACCACACAAAATACTACACACACAGAAGATAATGTATTGCCCTGTTTGTAAACGACCTCGTGTACTTATGTATCCTCAAACTACTATGTTTATCTGTTTTTAATATTACTTGGTGTATTATTATTATGGTAACACTTTCTATGAATGTCACGTTGTAAGCATCTATAAACACATTTATAACATGTTATAATGCCTGTCATACGGCATTATAAACATGATTATAAGCCTTTATAAAAATGAATTACACTGGATTACACTTTATAGACATGTTTATTATACATTATGAATTGTTAATATAATGCATTATAAGTAGTGCTGATAACATATTATACTGTCAGTGCCAAAGAAGTCAGTCCCAGCTTGGAGACTGCAAAGTAAAGACAAATACCAAGCTAACGGTGGTGTACATTACCTTTCCCACATTGGGTAAAACACTGATGGCAGCTCTAGTTTAAACTCTGACATTTGAAGCCTGTAATGTGCTTTACTGTGAATGTTTTAGTGTTTCAGTAAATCCTTCAGTAAATACTTCAACTTGAAGCCTCACTCTTAACACTGGAGGAGGCTTTAGTACAGTACGCTTCACTTTACTTAGAGCGGACAAATACGACTTATGAGCTCTTATAATTTGTTATGAACAGTACTTATAATGTATTATGTTAACAATTCATAATGCATAATAAGCATGGCTATAACGTGTAATGCATTTTTATAAATATTTATAGCCATGTTTATAATGCCTTATGAACGCATTATAACATGTTATGAATGTGTTTATAGATGCTTACAAAGGTGACATTCATAGAAAGTGTTACCATTATTATTATTATTATTATTTTTATTATTATTATTATTATTATTATTATTATTATTATTTTCTCATCCCATGAAACTGGGAATTCTTCAATTGTTACGTTTCAAATGTTTAATCCTGCTTTTTGATGATGCTTTTGGCAATACTGTATCTAAATATATCCATGCCAATAAAGCTTACTAAACTGGTGGATGATTCTCAGCACTGCAGTAACACTGACACATTGTGCTGGTCTGAGTGGATCAGACACAGCAGTGCTGCTGGAGTTTTTAAACACCTCAGTGTCACTGCTGGACTGAGAGTAGTCCACCAACCAAATATATTCAGCCAACAGCGTCCTGTGACCACTGATGAAGGACTAGAGGATGACCAACACAAACTGTGCAGCAGCGGATGAGCTATCGTCTCTGGCTTTACATCTACAAGGTGGACTGACAAGGTAGCAGTGTCTAATAGAGTGGACAGTGAGTGGACACAGTGTTTAAAAACTCCAGCAGCACTGCTGTGTCTGATCCACTCAGACCAGCGCAACACACACTAACACACCACCACCATGTCAGTGTTACTACAGTGCTGAGAATGATCCACCACCCAAATAGTACCTGCTCTGTGAGGGTCCATGGGGGTCCTGACCACTGAAGAACAGGGTAAAAGGGGGCTAACAAAGTATGCAGAGATTCAGATGGACTACAGTCTGTAACTGTAGAACTACAAAGTGCACCTATATAGTAAGTGGAGCTGATAAAATGGACAATGAGCATAGAAACAAGGAAGTGGTCATAATGTTATAAGAAAAAATAAAATGAAAAATGTGGCCTGTGTGAAAGTTATGGGGCATTTATTACTTCTAATATGCTAAAGTAATAAACAGTTGTACATTAAACTTTGTGGAAAAATGACATTCACATTTGTTCTCTGTAGAGGATGTGTTAACTTATCCACACCTAGAAAATCAATAAAACAATATGACCACAGAGGATTACAGCTATAAAAATGCAACATGAACCTTTGACTCTGAGGCCAGTTCACGTGCTACGACTACATATATTGTACACTTCTTGATTAATGGCACTAATGATTCAGGGTTCCTCTTCTGTACCAACCAAAGTACAGGTCATCAAGAAGTGCCTCTTACCTCCAAGATACCAAAAATCCAGCTTCTGGCTGGCATACTGCAGGGGTAAAATCAAATTCTTTTAAAGGGGGATATTCTGTAAAGTTTAATCAGTTTTAGTTTTAGTCGTAATATGCGTTCATCCACAAGCTATAGTGTTAAACATACTATAACATCGTTTACACCTTCCAGATCTTACGTCCTTAATTAGCTGTCCGTCTGAACCTAATGAATTACATATGCTGACTAAATGTTTGGAAGACACTTTTCGCTCTACTTTAGATAATGTGGCTCCACTAAAAAGTAAAAGAATAAGGCAGAAAAGGCTCCATGGTACAATGACCATACTCGAGCTATGAAACAGACTGTTAGACGATTAGAGCATAAATGGCTTCAGACTAAACTTGAGGTTTTCCAATCTGCCTGGAAGGAGAGTCTTAAAGACTATAGAAAAGCTCTAAAGTCAGCACGTTCAGCCTATCTCTCGTCATTGATTGGAAATAACAAGAATAATCCTAGACTACTATTCAGTACTATCTCTAAATTGACTAATAATCAAGCAGCTATTGAAGCCCAGGTACCATCAGCCTACAGCAGCACTGACTTCATGAACTTCTTCAATAATAAAATTGAATCGATTAGGCACAAAATTCAAAATGCGCAGCTAACAAGCGCAGTGTCCTATAAACCTAATCTAGATCTAGAGTGCAGTATAACCACTACAGAGATGCTGGAGTCTTTTACTTTACTCCAACAAACAGAGCTCGTCCAAATTATTTCATCTTCAAAAACAACAACTTGTATACTAGATCCTGTTCCCACAGGTTTACTTAAAGATGTTTTGCCAGAAATAACCAAGCCTTTTCTATCTATAATAAACTCTTCTTTCAGCCTCGGCTATGTCCAAAATCTCTTAAATTAGGTGTAATTAAACACTTAATAAAGAAACCTAGTCTTGACCCCTCTGAGTTATCAAACTGTAGACCTATTTCAAATCTTCCCTTTTTATCAAAAATATTAGAGAAAGCCGTGGCAAAACAATAATGTTCCCATCTGCATAGAAGTAATATATATATGAAATATTTCAGTCTGACTTCAGGCCTCACCATAGTGCTGAAACAGCGATAGTGAAAATTGTAAATGATCTTTTATTATCCGCTGACAAAGGAAACATATCCTTACTGGTTTTACTTGATTGTAGTGCAGCTTTTGACACAATAGACCATTCCATTCTATTAGACAGGCTTGAAAAACTAGGAGGAGTGACAGGTAAAGCTCTTTCATGGTTCAAATCTTACCTTAGTGATCGCTTTGAGTTTGTTTAATGTAAATGGTGAACCATCAGCTCTCACAAGAGTAAAGTATGGTGTTCCACAGGACTCTGTCTTAGGACCCATATTATTTACCTTATATATGCTACCACTAG